TCATCATCATCAAAGTAAATTGCCGAGTGCTTTTCATTGAAACAGTTTTCGATAAAATCAAAGTTCTAGATGACAATCGAACATCGAATTTACTTTCATTCTTGACAATATCAGTGTCAATAGCTATTCTGATACCTTGTCTTTTACTCAACTTTTATCGAGCTTTTTTCTTTTTGTAAGAAAAAATCGATAAGCTTATCTAAGTCAAATGCAGTTAGTTCGCAACAGAAAATTTGCGTACACTGTCGAAAAGTCGAAATCCTTGAATCTTCTCAATGACATTTTGGGCTTGAAAAACCATTTTTTAGACCGATTTCTCAAAGAAAAGAATCTCTTAACCCTACTAAATCAAGATCTTTTGCAAATGTGAACACATGAGATGATGAAACAAAAACTTCAACATGAATAAATTTCGAAGATTCGTTGCTGGAAGTGATGAGAAATCCATGATGTGAATCTTTACCACAGTTTCTACAAGATATTTAATCTGTTGAATGTCCATGTGCATCTGGATTAATCATTCGGTTTCTTTGAGATTTTGTCAATTTCGAGTGTGAGCAAAATAGATCCACTGTCACCCACATTCATTCTCGCCCTTGTGTTTTTTATTTCTTGTTTTTCCATTTTTGAATAAAAAGAATCCATTTGAAAATGAACATCTTCTTCATTCAACGAGTCATTTAATTGAAAGTATTATTGAAATATTTCATTTTTATTTTTACAAAAAAAATATACATATTCTTTACAACAAGACTTTTTTTGCTTTAATTTTTGTTTATATTAGTTACTAGTTTTTGTGATAAATACTTCAGCTTGATTGTTGATCATTTCATTATTATCATTCTAACTGGTTCAGCACTACTCTAGCTTGTTCCAGTAGTGTTGCCAGTTGAGTAACTCGATGATTGATAATCCTTTAAATAGAAAATGAAAATGAAATTCATCTGATATTGTCAATTAGCCTACTTGGTTGTCTGCTGCTGACATATAGTCGATGACTTCTAATCAAATATATAAAACATAATTCTATACAGACACGTAATTAATCTACTCACTACTATCAACATCAGCAGAATTAAATTGTTCTTGGTAGTAACGATAACCAGATTCATTGTTTTCGTAATCCATGATCGATTGTTCTAGATTGAATAAAATATATTAATTTAAAATATTTTCTCGAGTCAAACATTCAACTTATCTACCATATATATTTATATATGCGAGACTGTAATCTGAAGTCTTCCGAATAGAGATGTGTGGGGTCAAGTTTTTTTAGCTTTAATCCTAGCCCGGCTGAATAGCTTCTTTTCCAATGATTTCAATCATAGCTCCGGTAAATTTGATCTGGTACTGGTTTCGATCGAGAGAAAACTATTCCGGTATTTATTGATATCACATGTGAAAATATTCTTAAATAAACGTGTTCTGATATATAGTTGACGACTAATACTTTCTATTGTCACTTATATTTTGATTGATATGATTTATAAAATAATTTGCCTTAAATACATAGAACATTTAACTATAATTTTCAATTCCGGTTTGAAGAACATTTTTTTTCGTAGCTACAATTTCGATCTCAGTTACAAGAATCGAAACTAAAATTCATTCCACACATCTTCACTAGTAACTAAAACTTGAAAGATCTACGTGCTCTAATAAGTTCTTCGAATAAATGTAAAATTCCTGTTTTGAACTATTTTTAAATGTTGTTTTACTTTCATTAATTTTCCAGTCATTAATAAATCTATTGAGATTCTAGAATTCGCATTGCTATGCTTAATTTACAAATTCAACTTTTCTTCATTAATTAATGATGGAAAGTTATCCTCGTTTAAAGAAACATTTTTCTCAACTGGAAATTCGACAAAAAAAATCTAGAAAGTGTTGAGATAGAATATTAAAAAATTTTATTATACAGAAATCGAATGCTGTAATTTTCTTTAGACATTGACACATGGAAAGCAAATTTATAATTTGACGAGACGTAAATTCAAACAATTACGTACTTTACGAAATGTAGAATGGAATGAGAAGCAGTATAATTATAGATGTACGCATTACAGTCTAACGAAAAAACAAAAATCTGAAGTCAGATGCAACAACCGATTGCATATTCGATTGTAAAAGGATGTGTGTTATAGGATGCTGTTCATGTCGAAAAATAATTGGAATTTTTTTGTAAGACGAAATGTCTTTAAAAAATAAATTGACTGTACAAATACGAGTGAATAAATTAAAAATATTTTTTCTTGTAAATGGTTTAGTGAACTGAAAAGATATTTGTCGAATGAAAAAAAAGAAAAAGTTATTCTATTCAGATTTTAATTGTTTTGATTTGATGAATTCATGTCTATTTGAGTTCTAATATGATCAACAGCATATATTTTTGCCACATACTAAACTTTGATATCTGTTCATTGAATAAAATCTTAAATGACATCGTTTCTTTTTTTATTGTTGTCTCATTAGTAAGCACTCGCAAAAATATATGCTAACGAAAATAAATATTCATTAAAAAAGTAACTTACCTTTATTGTTTAGTAATGATTTTTTCACGTGAGCAATGAGACTTTACCAACGGAGAGTTTTCAAACAGTTTATATAGGAATGGCGACGTAGATAAATATTTGCTTGATTTAGGAAGATAGTGACGAATACGGTAGTTGACATTTGCGAAAGTTGGAAAAATGTGGGAATTTTATTTTCTGTTGGATCTTTCCTGAGGTAAAAGAAATGACGTGAGGGATAAAATTAAGTATTTTTTTTTTCGTTCTCTATGTTTGTCAACAGCTGTCACCTTAGTTACTTCCACACATTGGTCATGACTTGATCAAAGGTTATATCTTTTATTATATACAACTGTTATCCAACATAGACACAAATCTTTTTGTCCTTGCTTCTACATTTTAATTCATATCGGTGTTCTTTAATTGGAAGAAAAAGAAACCGAAAAACAACCCATATGAGAGACAAAAATAATGATTTCGTGTTTTTTGGTTTTTTTTACAAATATACAAAATCCTGAAAGACATACTACAGTGGTTGTCAAAACTATCCAATCAGCTAATTGTTTTTATTTTATTTTGTCAATATATCAAAAACAAGATGAGATAGGATTATATAATTTTCGTCAGATTACAATCCATAGTCTATAGTATATTAATACAAACAGTTTCATCTTAATTCATTGATCTCGTTAGTTTTTATTGGCGATATAATCGTAGCATTTTGTTTTTTGTTCTATCAAAATTCTCCGATCACTGATTGATGTCAACTGTTGCGCACCTATTTTAGATTGAAATATTCTTTATGATTCATGACTCAAACAAATCAATTGCATTGCACGGAATGAGTATTTTTTATTGTACCTTTCCTTTGAGTATGGGTTTAAAAAGCTTTTTTAAAGATACGGAAATTTCCAATAAAGACAGCAAAAATTTTTTTTTCATATGATGTTTAGACAAATTTACTGTTCATTATAGAATTAGGAATACTACTTGCTTCTATGAATCTTTATTTTGTAAGATTGATATCGAGTCTGAGAAAGAAAAACAACACGCAGCCATTATATCGCCAATAAAAAAAATAACAAGATCAATGGATTGACATGAAATTTTTTTACTAGTGTACTCGAGACTGGATGGAATTCTGATGAAAATCAGATCATAGTTAGAATGTAGTACTAGTCAAATATACAAGAGTAACGCAGTTTTGATTATATTCCATAGTACCAAGTATTTAACTCTATTTCAAGTAATGGTTTCAATAGCCAACAATGTTTCCTATCAAACACACTGTATATATATAAATTTCAGAGGTGAACTATTAGAGGAAGACTTCTCGAAAATCTAAACAGGGTAGTTGTCAAATCTCAGAATATTGTAAAGATTAGTATTTAAGAGTGGCACATTAAAGAGCAAAAAATCCTCAATAAAAGGACTAGTCATCGAATTTCCTATGACGTTTCCTTAAAAAGTTAACAACATCATAGAAAACAACAAAATACGTTTCTTTCAACAATGCTATGATGAATCTTGCAGTTTTTTGTTTTTTGTAACGCTTATAACTTGTCAAAGAAACGTCGTAAGAAATGTGGCAACTTCTCATTTTATTCAAAATGTTGTGCACTTTAAGATGGTATTCTTAAAGTTTAATTTTCACACATTCTTATAGGATCTGATAACTTCTCCTGTCGCAAAAAATCGAATCATTTTTAGCGGTAAACATCCGATTTTCTTACAGTTTTTATCGCATGGGTACCGTTTTGAAATTTTTGGGAGAGCTTCCTCTCAGAGTTCATCTATGAAATTCCATTATGGAATGCATTCGGTAGAGAGCTTCATTCACTATCCAAATCACTATTTGACTTTGAATTAAATGCTTCATATAGTAGAATATAATCGAAAATACGTTTGTCCTACGTTTTTCATCGGTACTATGTAATGAAATAGTCAACCGATTGTATAGCTTTAACAGAGTGAGTCCCTGAAATGAGTGTTATTAAGTCTTGATCCTCCGTAATTTACGTAGGTTCAATAATAACACCTCAAAACTTGTGTCTGTGCAAAAGATGAAAGTTCACCATAAAAACTGCCACCTAAAGTGTGTTGTATAATGTCAAAATAATGTTCACAGGTTTCAACAAAATAATATGTTTTATTAAATAGATAAATAAAACATAAAAGGACGACGATAATAATGGTGATGAAGATAACAACAATTATGATAGAAAATCAATAGTGATAACGGCATAGAGAAAATAATAATGACGATGATTTGAGAGGGAGGAAGGAAAAACAACAACTGTATAACAACAACAAAGAAAAAAAGCCATGATTGATTGATCAAGACCGAGCGGTCAGAAAACATCAAGGAGGATCAAAACAACAATAATAAACAAGTATATGTTTAGCGTCATTGTGCGCCATTTATAAGACAAATAGACAACCACCTTATGAATAAATCATTGACAAACGAATGATTTTTTTTGTAATAAATTACTTGGTAATATGAATAATATTATCGTTAATTCTATTAATATTCAATTGTTTACTTTTAGCAAGTAATTCAATATAATAAAATTCTGTATCTGAAAAATTATGACGTTGTACTGTAAATGGTTCTAATGTTTCATTTGATTCCATAAATTCTTTAAGAAGAGAATCTAATTTCAAACGAAATTGATCAGATACATCAATGCACGAAAGGATATCATCATTATCATTTCTAAATAAAGAAGAGGAAAAAAAATTTTAAATTTCTATGTAAATTTGTTTACTGATTATTTATTAATGATTCTTTTAGGGTAAATAGTTCATCAGATTTTTTTGTTTTTGTTTGTATTGCTAAATCAAGAGCATCTTTTAATTTAATTACTTCCGTTAATATATCATGATTTTGTGGATCAATAGCAAGAGCTTTTGACAAATATTTCTCTGCTTCATCAAGTTGATTCAATGATCGAAGTGAAACACTTGCACGAAATAAAGCTTTTAAATTATTTGGTTCAATAACAAGTGCATCACGACATGCTCGTAAACATTTTTCAAAATTATCCAAACGAAGATAACATTGTGCTAGAGAAAAAACAAACAAAACAATTTCTTCGAATACTATCAAAGTTTTTTGTTTATTTTAATTTTACCAGAATTAAGATGAAGTTTAAGTAATAATTGATGATATTGTTCTTCATTCTTACCATCAATAAGTGTAACTCTTTTATGAATTAATTGTCGTGCTTTATTATAACTTCGTAATGCACGATCTAATTGACCATTTGCATATTCTTCATTACCTGTATTACGTAATGTTTGAGCTAATCTTATACGTTTAGCAAAATCATCGATTTGTTGTTTATTTGTTGTTGTTTTTATTAATAATTGTTCATCATGAATAACTGTTGATGATTCATTTGTTGTTAAAAGTTCAATAACATAAAGACACCATGCTGATTCAGGTATGTGTGGAGCACAACCAAGTTCACCATATAATAAATCACTACTGATTATAAATTTTGAACGTTCACGTCTTTGCATTGTACTAACAGCTAGATCAATACCAGGAAGTACTTCATATTTACCTAAACGAAATTCAAGTGGACGTCGACGTTTAAATGATGTGTCAAATGGTTCATCTCGATGTTCAAAATAAGCATAATAATGTAATCGTCTGGAAAAAAATAAGTTCTTTTTAGACCATAACAGTTGTTTGTAAAGGAAGATATATTTTAATCAGAACGTTTTACTTCCTATTTTTTTATACGTATTATCTAGTAGATCAATTTTTCAATTCTTAGGGAGCGAATTTTTAAGATGCTTTCACTTGATTTTATTATGCCAAACTAGACACTTTGTCTAACGAAAAAAAATCACCAAGTGTAAGTACATTTTTTCAATTGACTCAATGCCATTCTGCAGAAATAGATGAAATGATCCGGATGGTGTAATGCATTCTTCCTCACAGATTATCTTTGAGAAGTTCAGTTGATCTTAACTTTAGAAAAATGACTGTAAGCTTTTATTTCGAAAATCGTAATTTTTATATAAGTTTAGTTCTCAACACTTGAAGCTTTAACACTGAATGTGCCTTAACGAACTGTACACATCTAAACAATAGAAGTTCTAACAACGACTTATACTTTGAATATTTCAATACAAATAATACTGTGACTGTACATAATTCAACGATTCATGCAAAATTCATCAGAGTTCAGTTGTATGTTCGTCTTTTTTTAGAATATATAGTAAAAATACAAGTGGATTAAGTTTCAAGTATATGGAAGAAAATAACTAAACAGACTGTCAACTATCGAACACGAGATATCTGAAAAGATTTTAGTTAATACGTCTTTAATATAGTATTCTCAGAGAATTTTGACTAGTTTTGAAAATTCGAAACAATAATTTACAGTCATTTTTCTGAACTTAATATAGACCTAACTTCTCAAAGTCTATGGCGAAAAACGCTTTATACTATCGTGACCGATTCATCGCAACGAACTCTACAAACTCACATAAAGCAAATCGAAAAAGGAGAGTTATACTTGTAAGTTGATTTTGAAAACTAATTCAGAATTCATTTGAATTAAATCTTAAAAAGTCTTAAAATCTCGTGCTTTAATTTTTGTGATTTATGACATCATTCGTTAAAACTCAGAAAATTTAACTACGATTTTAGTTCCCACTCAAACAGCTTTTCTCTCACAGTCGCAGTCTTTTTTTCTTGACTTATAGCCATTTTTACTGAGTCTTCCAATAACTTTTAAACTAATATGAAAGATACAAGAAACTCCGATACTATTACATTGGGTGAATCCTATCGAAAAATATAGACTAGTGGATAAAAATCCCTGTCCTAGCCGATCTGGACCACTGTATGTGCTGGAAGCCGTTATTGCTTAATTATAGAGAGAGTTATTATGGATAGCACTTGATTTTGTTATCAGCCAATTTCTGAATATGTAATAATTATGTACCAGCTATATGTATATTACTAACTTCATTAAAGTTCATCAATCCTTTCAAAGACTGCTCATAGTTGTGGAGAGACATCATCTACTGCCCTTTGGAGATTATAGCTCAGTGATCGTTCAATGAAACGAGTTCAAACTTTTTGATAAGCTTTCTCTATAGTTAAACATTATCATCTACAAATTTCAGAAGCAAATCTTACACTGAAGAGAAATAGAACGTCGATGATAATCTTGTTAGTTCCAACGACCTACTCACATCAATATCCCATTAAATGTGCTCATCTCTCGAGTGAAGAAATACCGTAGTTGTGACTTCAATCACATGTGAAAAAATCAAGAATTAGTCATAGTTTTGATAATAAATAGTACAAAGTTTCGAAGGAGTTTCTTTTTCGGTTATGATGCTCGGAGCAAAAATAATTAGCTCTTCCGTAATAACTCTCTTTGTAATTAAGCGATAACGACGCCTTACTGCTAATGAGCTACATTCTTGGTGAAGGACGCATACAAAAAACTTTCAAACCTTTACTACATATAGCAACCAAGCTCGGTTGGGGGATGAAGACTTACAACTAACTAAAAATGATCATAGCTCAAAAAGAAATACTTATAAAAACGAATCCTTTGAGTTTCTCTCAAGTTCTTATAGAGTTTACTTGATGTAATAAAATTTGTCTCAGAAGCAATTTATCACTTCGAATTAGTACCTCATACGGCTAAAACAACTTTCTCGTATATCATCATCTTTCAATCACTTTTAAACCATTGTAAACATATAAAAAAACTTACACAGAAGCACCTATAGTTGAATTTTGACCAATTCCACTATGAATAATTTCTTTCCAAATTCCACCTTGATTCAAATCTGTTTCTGTCATATTATCATTATTTATATATCGTCCATCATATCCATTTGTTATTATAATATGTTTCATTGTTGTTATTTGTTCACTAAATGGTAATGTACCATCAATACGTCTTTGTCGATGAAATGGTTCAATATGAGCTGAACGATTATATTTTGCATTTAGATCATCTTCCTCTTCAATATTATCATTCACATTATAATTTTCATTCATATTTAAATTGTTTATTATTAAAGATTGTATTTGAGAAAATCTGTATTATCTCAATCGATCAAATAAATATTTTCTATGATCCTGAGATATTTTATTTATACTAAAACAAAGACAATTATTATCTTTTATTTTGGAAAAAAAATAACAATATATAAATATTTACACATATTGCTATTCTATTTAAATAGATCTGAATTAAGAATTACTTTAAATGAGAAAATTTTGAAATGCAAATAGTAAACAGAAAGAAATACATTGAAAATTAAATATAATCAAGAAAATGCACAAAAAAAATTCCATCATTCCAGACTAATACAAATAGAATCATTTATCTGATGAATAAATATTAACCATTTGTACGTGGCCATGAATCTAGTCCATATAAGAAGCCTAAAAGAAGACTAATACCACAAATAACACTAATTATACACAGAGTAAAAGCATGTTTATCTAGTTTACGAGATTCATCAATAAAACCATCTTTAAATTTTATTTGTGCTTTATAAGCAAGACCAAATGCAATTAAACCTTAAGAAAACAATCAAAGATTTTTCTTTTTTAACAACAAGTAGTTTATTCCTTCGAATATTCAATTTTCTACCTGTTAATGGAAAAAGAAAAATACAAAGAACAGCAAACCAACGCCAATCATAAGGACGTTTTGGTATATGTGGATCGAATTTTTTTCGACGTTCAACAACAGTTGCTGCACTTGAGACATTCGAAATAGCTGATGAAAGAGTTCGAAGAGTAAATGTACTTGAATAAAGTGGATTCGTTGGTCGTACTTGTGGGTATTCTAAATTTAAAGAAAATTAGAAAAAAATAATAAATATCATTTTTTTTCTTACCACTATAAGTTAATTTTGATGTACGTGAGCCTATGGATTTTGAACCAACAGATTTTGTGTCAATATCACTATGTGGATGTGTATTGTAAGGTTGAATAATATGTGATATTGGTGAATTAAGATAACTAAGTTTAATTGTATTATCTGATAAATTACTCGTAATTGATGACATGATTTATAAAATTGACATATTCTTCGTTATATTTTTGTTCAATTCATTTCGTGTATTCGCTTTATCCAATCATTATATTCTATCGAATCTTGTTTAACGAATGCACAAGTGTGCTATGTTTTCGTTTCGTTTGATTGGTACATGAATAATAATTGCTTAGGTTTCTTAGTTATTTTGACGAAACAATTATTTAGACAAATTAAATATCTGATAATAAGTTATTGAATAAAATTAACAATGCTTTTTCATCGATTTCAAATAAACAGTATCATTCTTTGTCATTGACTTCCCCATGTTCATTGAAAAAGTGCACTTGAAAACTTATTAAAACAACGAATATTAAATAAATACGATCATTAAGATTTGTTTCTCTATTCATACCAATTTGAGTATTCTTACTGCTAAGATCTCTATTTCTTCCCCAATATCGATCCTAAGCCAAGTGTATTCAATTCTTATGAGATTTTCATCCCTGTAAGTATGATCTTTTCAAGAAAGATTCATTTACAAAAGATCAAAAAATAGTATACTTGGCAACTCGAAATGCTCGATAAACCCTCATTGTACTGCAGACATGAGAAAACTAATGGCCGGAGGCATTTCGATACTATATAAAATAGCTGAGAAAATTGTCTCTCTATATTTTTTCAACAATCAGCAGCAGTTTGAATGCACATTAGATAATTGAAAATCTACTGTAAACTGTTAGAGAAGTAGATTTGTCTTCAAAAAGGTCGATTGAAAGCGTTGGAAAAATATCAGATGAAGAAAATTGTAACACACAATTTGATACTCCACATCTCTTCTTGCTGAAGGTAACAGCCAATTCTTGTCACTCATCATAACAAACAGCTCTTATTGAAGGTTGATTGGTATGGTCTCAGTTGAAGAATAATGAAATATTGGGAAAATGTAGAGCACGATTTTTACTGCCAGCACATATCGAGTGAAAGTTTCTCCGACCATTCTATAAGATATTGAAGTGTCTCCACCATTACTTTCGGTATGTCCTAAGCATTTTTGATTTCACTTTTATTCGAAAGAGCATGTCAGACTGGCATTGTCGAACAGAGTTCTATTTTTTTAAGTTATTAATTTCTATGCTGAGAACAAGGACAACAAGTTCAATACCTCAAAAACCGCTAAAAAAATGGTCATCGATTTACAGAAGTGAATTTTTATATAGTAAAGGAATAAAAGCTTATTTCAAAAAACTAATTCTGTCGGGCACTGCAATTTCTCATGCTCTTTCAAAAAGAACAAAAACACAGAAATTGGCTATCATGAAACTACTTCGACAATTTTAATATGCGCAGTTGGTACAGCAAGAAAAATAATAAGATTTACTGTTTTTTCTGCAAAAAAAACATATTTTTCAAATGGAAGATGATGAAAATCATCAAAAATTTTGTGAAGAAAAACCATGCACAAATAAAATCAATTACATTAAGTTGTACACGATTTCACCTTAAGCTGTTCTTGTATACATTTATTTTAATTTCGATTAATCTAACGGATATGAACTGTGCTTTTGAGAGAGAGATGGCCTGTAACTTACATGATTGAGTTAGTTTACCAAAGTAATCAATCGATTCGTATAGTTTCCATTCAAAGAGTTAGAATCTTCATTGCATCATTGTTTCTATGAAATCAAGATGAGTTCAATGTTGCTTTAATAATTTTGGCGTTTATGTCTTCGAAGTATTACTTTCCTTAGTTTATACACGAGTTGTAATAAAAAGAAAAGGTTATTAGCGCAGCCCCTTTGGAGCTGAAATGTGGAACTCACATATCTCCTTTGGTTTCATTATACTAATAACAAAATACCCAATATTTAAAATCTCCAAAAGATAATAGTTCTTTTCTAAAGATAATCGATTATTAGAAAATGCTATGTTTTTATCT